CAAGGGGGGGGGGGGTTGAAACGCTTAAGCATATTTAATGAGATTACTTTTTTCATTTTTACTTTTTAGAATTTTTGGAATATAAATATTAAAAATGAGAGACGTTTGGTGAAAAAATGGTGTTAGGACAAAATGGAATAAAACCCAATTGTAGCATTTCTTTTTTAATAAAGTAATTTACATTAAAGATGAATTATTTATGTTGTTATTAATTTTTATATTCAAGATCTTAATTTTATCATCATTATCCTTATATGGGGAAGGAAAAATCACTTACAATGTTTGTTTTGATTCTATAAGGAAACTATGCTAAAGATTTTTCGAAGTAAATTGTAATTTGTACATGTATCAATGTACAGTGTACGTGCAGTTTAGTACAGTTTAGATGCTTTTACAAAGGGACTGTATTACAAAAAATACCTAAATGAAATTGAATTAGTGATAACAAAATTGAAGAAGAAATGTTTAAATCCAGAACATAAACATGTGGACTAAGAGGCTTAAAAAGACATTTTTTTATTTTCTGAAGCTAATAAAATAAAATATTATTAATTGTTCTTCCAGGTATCAGCGAGTGGCTAACGAAATATGAACAGACTGATTTTACAAAGTGCTTAGGATCCATTCCATTCATTTTGATGCAAATCCTGCACTCAGTCCAAAAAAAGGTTCATGAACATTTCTCAAGATTTACTGATTTTTAAGCAAACAATACCCCGTTTATTTTTTCGCTTATTTTATGCTAAAACTTATCAAAGCATTCAGAGATGATTCTAAATATGCTATTAATACATTGATAACCAGGAAACAAATGGAATTTATTCTTTTCTTTCTTTATACTATAAATTGTCACTCTGGATTCTACATTTGTAACTGTACTGTACAGTACTGTACAGTACCGTACTGTAACTGTACTGTACTGTACTTTACTGTACTGTACTTCACTGTACTGTACGGTACTGTACTGTACTGTAACTGAATCATGTTTCATCAGATACAAAATGCAAAACTCCTAGTGAAAGGAATTGATTTTTTGCCTCAAACTCTAATTTGTAATCCATATATCTTTGCAACCCAATGTACTGGCGGTAGGAAGATTTTTAAATTTTTTATTTTTCTTGATTTCACGGTGTTTAGATTAGCTTTTTAACAATCAAAACAAAATATTTTAATGAGAAAACGTTTAGTGGCTGTCATTCGATTGAAAAGTGTGCCTTAAAAATACTTCACCTTACCATGACATGTATATTGTATATTGTAAATGTAAGCTATGCACATTTTAAAAACACAATTTTCTCTGTGATATTTTTTTTAATCGTTTTTTTAATTTTAATTTTTTTTTGGTTTAAAAAAAGTAATAAACAAATTAGCAAATTTAGAACAAATGTGTAATGGTGCTCTCTCAAGGGCTTAAATTTTTAATATTATTGATATTATTAACAATTTGCAAATTATAAAGAAAAAAAATTTCACACGACGCTTCTACGCTATTTAAATCGTTAACTTATGTATGTTTATATGTAGGTATCAATGTAAGTGAGAATTAATATATCAGAGACTACAATTTAAAGCTTAATCTTGATTCTAAATTCCTTAGTCTCAACTCAAAGTTAAGTCCAGCCTTCCTATTTAATATTGGATTTAACTCTAGGAAAAAGAAGTTTCTACACATCGACACTTAAAACTCAATTTTACTCTTAATGAGACAATTTTCTCCAAATCATTTTAATCGGGGTCTGAGTTGTTTTAGACATATATGTTCGACATAATTTTTTATCTAATGTATTGTACTGTATAGGATAATTTGTACTTTTTTCTACTTTTGTATGTATAATGTATTTTGTATCATTTGACAATTTTGTAAATTGATTATTTATACCATTTTTCTACTGAAATATATAAAATGATAATTATATTTATATGATTCTGATTTAGGAACAGGTTGAGAAAATAGAGTTTACTCTTAATATGGAAAGTTATTAATCTTATTTAGTTATCGGTTTCTTTAATGTTTGATTGTTCACAATTGTTTTCCGTAGATTTCCGGGAATTTTCATTAAAATGACGACATTTGAAAAATTTGAAAAAATCTGCAACCAAATATGAAATAATAAAGAATTCTATATGGTGATGATGATAAAGAAATAATTAATTCTACCCTTTATTTCTTCACAAATTCCTTATGAGAAATATGTTGCAAAACAAAAAATTAGTAACTGTAGATTTTTCCCAGAATTTGTTACCAATATATTTTACATTTACTACATTTTTATACAGGATTCCAAGTTCAGGACAAGTTTGCACAAGTTGAAATTAAGTTGTGAAACGTAAATAAAGTTTTGTTAGCTGGGTATTAATATTGAATCTTGTTTGACTGGAGCAGTAAATTATTCTTACTTCAAAGGTATTTGAAACATGTTCATTATTTAAAACATGATAACATGTGCACAAAAATCAACATTGAATCTTATCACTAGCTACTGACTATCATTAGAATAGTATCATTCAAGATTGAATCTCGTCAGCAAGGGAGCAGGACCGCCATGCTCAGGGAGTATGAAATATCTACTGATGTATCCATTGTAGGATTTCTGCAGCCCACAGAGTATGAACTAGTTTTTGTTTTTTAGCTACTGATGCACCATTGGTAGAATTTTCTTCTCCAAGCTTGGATCTTTATACAGTCCTTGATTCAAAGAAAAGACATAATAACACAGTTAGCTACAGATCGTGTCCCACGAAATATGAGAGTAGAAAGACGAGTTAAAAGTCGTCTTTGATCTTCAAATATATTTGTGACATTCATTTGTCAACCTTCTTGCACATGTTTAATTTTTAGAACAACAACCACAAAATTCTCCTCGCGTTTCCTAAATGTGGTCTGCCTTTTTTGTGCCGTAAATAATACCGGAGATATTAAGAATTTCGTTCAGATAAATTTTTTTAAATAAAACAAAAATTGTCGAAAATATTTTATATCTCTGGTAATATTAAAAGCACAAAAAAAAGACCTCATTTTGGAAATGCCAAGACTAGATGTATTCAGTAATTAATTTTACATTTAAAATTCGGTTTACGAACAAATGACGCAAATTATTTCAAGGATCAAAGACGACCGTCTATTCGTCTTGCTACTGTCATGTTTCGTGGGACACTCGAGGTACAAAAGGTACGTATAGGTATTGAAATTAGAAGATCAGGAATATTCAAAAGGGAAAAGGTTGAACTGGAATTGACTAGCCAACTTAATTCTAAAGGGACTGTATGCCTAATTTCAAGTGAACCCTGTAGATGGTGTGTCCGATTTACAACAGTACCCTTTACACTTCTGACTGAAGGGCGTTAGGACTTATTCTTATCAATCAAACGCATTGTTGAACACTAGTGTTTTCCAAGAAATATCAATGTTTACTCTTTATAGAAATCTACGAAAATAAATACTTATATTCAAATTTTTGAGAAAAGCTTTGGACAAAAAATATTCGTCAGCTGTGCATGAGTTCATACTGTTTTTCGGCAATTTAAACATTATGTAAATGATATCACAAAGAGATCTCTAAATTTAAACATTATGTAAATGATATCACAAAATCCATTCTAAAATCCACGATGATCAGGGCACTATTGTTAATTTGGGCATTTCCATCTTTGACTGGAAGGTAACTTGAAATTACGCTTACAGTCCCTTTTAGTCTATCTTTCTATTAACGTTTTAATGTAAAATACCCGGATCAGATTCTAAATATAATTCAAAACAGGGCTTGCACGTTATACAGTACACTTCGTACTGTACAGATAGAAGGATATACAGTACACTTCGTACTAGACAGATAGAAGGACAACTCTATTATGTTTTATTCTCTTTGCCTTGGTCAAACAGCTTCCTCCATACTTCTCCAGTTGGGTATATATGAGCACTATAACAAATGAAAAATTAGATGAATAAGTGCACTATCATAAAAAATTAGATGAATTTGTGCACTGTAGTAAGTGAAAGTTAGGTGAACATGTGCACTGTAATAAATAAAAAATTAGTTCAATATGTGTACTATCATAAATGAAAAAAGTAAGTTGAATTTGTGCAATGTAGTAAATGAAAGTTAGGTGAATATGTGCACAGTAATAAACAAAAGTTAGATATATTTTGTGCACTGTATTAAATGAAAGTTGTAAGAATATGTGCACTGTATTAAATTAAAAGCTACGACCCTCAGTCTCAGGACTTAGACTAAACCAAACTTTTTGTATCCGACCCTTTATCATAGGATTTAGACAAAACCAGACATTCTGTTATCTGACCTCTATAGTTTCAGAGCATAGTCTAAACAAAACATTCTGTTATCCAACCTTTATTTTCAGGGCTTAGACTAAACCAAACATTCTGTTATCTAACTTTTAATCTAAGGGCTTAGACTAAACCTAACATTATGTTATCCAACTTTTAGTCTCTGGATTTAGACTAAACCTAACATTCTGTTATCCGACATTTAGTCTCAGGCTTAGACTAAACCTAACATTATGTTATCCAACTTTTAGTCTCTGGATTTAGACTAAACCAAACATTCTGTTATCCGACCTTTAGTCTCAAGGTTTGGACTTAACCTAACATTCTGTTATTCGACCTTTAGTCTTAGGACTTAGACTAAACCTAACATTCTGTTATCCGACATTTAGTTTCAGGACTTAGACTAAACCTAACATTCTGTTACCCGACCTTTAGTCTCAGGGCTTAGAGTCGGCTTGCTTTTTGTTTGGTGAACCAATATTTAATTAATTCCTTATTAAGCGAAATGTTGATTCCAGATCAATTTGAATGATTGATTTGATTAGGATTCCAAGTTCAG